CTTCTTACATGTTGAACACAAACCTGTACTTTCTACTTCTTACATGTTGAACTCAAATACCTGTACTTTCTACTTCTTACATGTTGAACTCAAATACCTGTACTTTCTACTTCTTACATGTTGAACACAAATACCTGTACTTTCTACTTCTTACATGTTGAACTCAAATACCTGAACTTTCTACTTCTTACATGTTGAACCCAAATACCTGTACTTTCTACTTCTTACATGTTGAACCCAAATACCTGTACTTTCTACTTCTTACATGTTGAACCCAAATACCTGTACTTTCTACTTCTCACATGTTGAACTCAAATACCTGTACTTTCTACTTCTTACATGTTGAACTCAAATACCTGTACTTTCTACTTCTTACATGTTGAACTCAAATACCTGTACTTTCTACTTCTTACATGTTGAACTCAAATACCTGTACTTTCTACTTCTTACATGTTGAACACAAACCTGTACTTTCTACTTCTTACATGTTGAACACAAATACCTGTACTTTCTACTTCTTACATGTTGAACTCAAATACCTGTACTTTCTACTTCTTACATGTTGAACTCAAATACCTGTACTTTCTACTTCTTACATGTTGAACTCAAATACCTGTACTTTCTACTTCTCTCATTTTCCAAACAGCTGGTTCCTTTAGTCTGAATGTGTGTTTGGTGCGTGATCATTATTCTTTAGAGTCATTGCGTGCCTATTGATTTGAACACGATCCGTGTATCCATCACTTCCTGGTCTTCTCTAAAGAAGAGGGACCAATGGAAACGTTGTCATGTTGCCGTTGTTCAGCATGGAAACATTCATTAGCTAACAATGACATTATTGTTCTATTAATATAAAGGGAGGTCAGGTACTCTTTAAAACAGCTGCTAGTTATGGGTCCTTTTTACTGAAGTACATTTCAAAGCCCATACTTCTTTACTTTGACTTGAGTAAAGAAGTTTAGTCAGTACTTCTACTTTTACCAGTGTTTTTAAACACGAGTATCTGTACTTCTACTTGAGGATCTGGATCTGGATTAATACTGAGCAGAACCCAGAGGTATCACGCTCAGTGGGGGATGGATGAGATCCGCTAAATGTCTCTTCGAATTTGCCGGAAGCACAACACGGTTTCTGCGATGACAGCTTCTTCTGGTAGCAAGTTCCACTCTCTGATTGTTCTCGGAAAGAAGGAGTATTTAAGAGTGTCACTACTAGTTGCGAAAATTCGCTCGAAGTTCAAAGAGTTGGCTTTGTGGGTTGCACTTCTTCTAACTGGCTCTACTAGGAAAGGATGTGTGTACTTTTGCATCTCTGGTGGGGACTGTGTTTCCTTCGTCTTCGTGTGATCTGCGAGATCTAAGTCGGTCCAAACGAGATCTCTCCAGCAATTGTTCTCTTGCTCCTGATTGGACAGCACGACAGATGTCTCCCAGCAACAGATACGTTAAGAAGGTTAAAATAGATGTAGATAATATTAAATATAAAGATAAGATAAGATGGAACTTTATTTATCCCCTTGGGGATTTTCAGGCGTTTAGTAGCAACAGGATAAAGTGATAAAGTAACTGTTACTGTAACGGCTCTATCGTCGGTTGTCAGAGAGCTAACAGTTGCTAAAGCCCCTGTCACATTGTCCTGAAATTGACACCCGATGGACACACGAATATGGAATTGTGAATATCGCACGAAGATGGCCCCAAACCACAGACGAAGACAACATTTACATTACATGTAAGACATACAACTGCAACGAAAGTAACACAAACAATTATGTTAAAGTACTATGATACTGTGCTGATATCTTCAGACTTTGTTCTTTACTTTCTCCGTCTTTATATGTAGAAGATATTACGTTTTCTCCTTAATGTTGTTTCCATAACAACAACAACTTCCTGTCAAATGTCCTTCAAAATAATATATTATATCCTTTTTAGTTTCACAGAACACAAATTGGGTTATTTACATAATATGTTTACATGATTTTGTTGTGCAATAAAAAACCCGATGGACACACGATAAAGGAAATGTTCAAATTCGGCTGTGATCGTAGCAACATCGGGCCATTCGTGAGAGCATCTAAGCCATCGTATGACCGCCGGTGGAGTTTCTCAGGCTCCGGCAGCAACTTCGTGAGCGGTGGCAAAATCTTTGGCATGCCAAAAAATTGCCGAAGGACCTTGCGAAGGTTCATTTTCGTGTTAAATTCGTGTGTAAATGTTGCCCTTCGTAAGGCCATCGTGAGGGCATTATCATCGGTGCCATCGGGCATTCGCCCCGATCAGAGTGAGGGTGAATGCACCGATGATAACACGAAGATGACACGACTTGACAAGATGCCCTCACGAGTGCCTTACGAAGTTGCCGCTCACGAAGTTGCTGCCGGAGCCTGAGAAACTCCACCGGCGGTCATACGATGGCTTAGATGCCCTCACGAATGGCCCGATGTTGCTACGATCAGAGCCGAATTTGAACATTTCCTTTATCGTGTGTCCATCGGGTGTCAATTTCGGGACAGTGTGACAGGGGCTTAAATGCCACACTCTTTTTACACCCAGTGTGTTAATGACAATTGGGAAGTGTTGCTTCAAATGTGACAATTTAAAATCATCTCCAAGTGACGTAAATAAACCCGTAGTGACACATAAACTGGAAATGAGCTTCTTAATGACAGTCTTCTTTGTAAATGATCGTGTTCACTGATCTCATTTAGGGTAAAGCAAGAGAACAAACCTCAGGTGATATCAATATCTTCTGATCTTGTTTAGTGTCTCCTGACGTGTGTGAGGATAAACAGGAAGTACAATTAACATTGTATTAAACATGAGCTGCTGATGCAACAACCTGTTCAACACTTCCTGTTTCATGAAACCTTTACAGCTTCTGATGCTTGTTCATTAGCGAGAGGTTAACGTACCGGAGGAGTTCTCATTACAGACGGAGGACTTTATAAGACGTACGGACACATTTGACCTCATCTTTGACCAGCTTGTTGCATTCATGAAGACGAGTTTCTTGGTGCTCCTTGAACATTTTCATCCACATTTTGATCCAAAACAGCGTGAAATTAAAAGTAATTGATCTTCAGAGCTAGCTCAGCGCTGTGAGCAAACAAATCACCAGCAGATCCAGTGAAATATCCTCTGAGGATTCAATCCAATGTTTTAAAAGTGACAAATTGTCGTGTGAATCTTAATCTCTTATCATTTGTGTTTTGGAGTTCTGGTTCTGAGTTTCTAGAGTCAACACTTGGAGGAAAAGCATGGAGAAAGACAACAAAACACAGTTTAAACTCAACATTTCTCTCCCTCAAGACTCAATGACATCTCTCCTCTAACATACGAAGAAAACGACTTGAGGAAAACGACAAAAAGAGACTCAATAAAAATACATTTTAGTGTAAATATGAATAACTGTAATGTACTTTATGTATTATACTGTGTTTTCCTTGCAGATAACCTCGTAGATATTCTGTGAATTAAAGATGTGTATGTGAGCCCTGTGCTGATCAAAACTCTGGAGAAACACAACAATTATTTACAGTTTTTTAGACAAAAATGTACAAAAAGTAATAGTTTTAACCTGGAAAACATGGAGGTTATGGACAGATTCTCTCGATGCTAAATATGGCTCAACAGACGGCCCAATACATTTAAAATGCACACTCAAAATCACAAAGTAACTCCTGGAAAGTGTTGACTTGAACTTTGAAAGGCAAGACACACACAGAAGAAAGTGGATACAAGACATGACGAGTTGTAAAGTGAGAGGAAGAGGATTTGTTTTGACAGGATGAAGTTTGCAGAGAGCAGCAGGTCTGGCAGAGGAGCAGGAAAACACTTTATTTTGAAAATCATTTGAGTGTCAAGAGCAGGAGAGCAACGCAAAAGGTGCTGAAGTGTATCAAATATACAGAATAAAAACAGAAGGAGTCCATCAGCCGTCAGTGAAATGAATTTTGTGACTTTATATTGAGCTTAAATATAGAAATACCACCATAAAGAAATATCCTTCAAACACTCGACCAGCTGCAGATGGTGTCTGCTTTTTAAAATGCTCTTTTAATATAATTTAATGTATGTATTTATTTGTTATTGTTCCACTGGTTATTGTGTTAAAAGCAAAATAAAAACACAGCCATCAGCGGTCAGTCGGTCAGATTTACTGCTTAGTATTCAGTATAAACATAGATATAAAAACCATCAAGTACTCTTCAAACACAAAGTGATGAAGTGCAGATGGTGTCGGGGGGAAGTGGTTCAAATGCCTGATTCTGCTGAATAACACTTTGCTCTTCTGATAGATTATAACACACACCTGTACTCTACTGCCACCTGCTGGAGACAAAGACTACAGGCAGGAGGAGGGAGGCTCACCTGTGTCACCTGGAACACACGCACACACACGCACACACACACACACTGCATGGGACCACTTTATTTTATTTTGAAAGGTGGCCATAAACAGTTTAGAGATTTGAGACACAGGTCATGTCATTCGTCCTCTGGCAGACCGTTCTTTGGCCACATGTTCACAGGTTATCAACGGTTATATTAAGACTTCAGTTTGGCCAGATAAAGGGTCGT